TGGAGGTGCTGCGCAGCACTGGCAGCCCACTAGTAGCCAGTGGCATCCTTGCATTTTCCCTTAGCGCAATTGTAACCTCCTTTGTGGGCTTCGTGGTTGCCCTTACAGACTTCTTCGCGGACTTGGACAATCGCACAGAGGACAACTCGGTGAGTTCACTGCCTTTGAAGCTCCGGGACTTTGCCTTGACGCTTGTGCCCCCTGTGATCGTGGCCTGCTTGGATCCGAGCCTCTTTTTCCAGGCCATGCCCTATCAGCAGAAGTAGAAGTAGAGCACGATGCAATGATGTAGTCCTTCTTCCCCTCTCTCTCACTCACTCGCGCACGCACGCACGCACGCACGCACGCACGCACGCACGCACGCACTCACTCACTCACTCACTCACTCACTCACTCACTCACGCGCTCTCTACATCTCTCTCTCTCTCTCTCTTTCGGTTCCCTCTTTTTGGCCACATAGAGTCCTAAATAGGTTCGTAGAGTGAGTCATGTCGTGGAGGTATCATCATGTCGTTCAAAGTGCAGCAGTTGTTGGAGTCCTGGATGGGAATACATAGATGTCAGGGACCTCGTGGTCTGAATCTTGCTCCACAGCATGTGGTGCAGCCATGTCTCTCAACACTTTCTTTGGCCCTCAGCATTCTCCGATATTGCCATGTCTCTGCGAGCCAACGCCGGGGCAGGGCGAAATTTCAACGAACAAAATGCGAGCAGAGTGCACCTTCAGACGAAATTCAATGAATGTCGGCAGTGTTCGATTGTGTGTCAACTGGGATTGCATTAATTTGGGGCGACCAGAGGAATAGCAAGAAGGGCACTTGCAAGAAGGCTTGGGGGGGTAACATGTGTTCATGTCGTGAGGCTCTTGACAAGGCCGGGGCATTCGGCGTCTCCACGCTCTTTGGGCTGCTGCCTGCCTGGATGGTGCTGGTGAAGCGATCCAAGGAGTCCCCGGTGCTCACGCGAGCAACCTGATTCTGATATCTGGTGTACTTTTTGTCCTCCTTGGATAGGACTGTTTTTTTGCCGGTTGCCAAGGACATGAAGAAACAGGAACGAACAATAAGTGCCCGAAGAAGGTGGACATGTAACATTGATCCCTGTCCCTGTGGAAGGTCCCTCAGTTCTTGGGGGGATATGTTCGAGGGCCCCTGGTGCCTGGGGGGCCCTTTGTCCCTGCCTTGGCAGCACTCGTGGCGCTTCTCGTCGTGGGCGACAATGCGCTGGAGCTGTTGCAAGGGAAAGCTTAGGACCATGGGTTATGGCTGTACGTGGCTCCAAGACTTGGAGTTGTGTCACACCCCACTGCACACAAAGATGCACTTTTCGACGTTTTCGGCACTCTCCTTCAGAAGAAGGTTTTTCGGAGCCGCGTGTCCTCCCACAAATCCAAAATGTTGCAGCCAGACCACAAAGAATGCCTTCTGAAGCATGGGGAGCGGAAGCATGGGGATGTAGAATTCAGAGGCTAACGCTTGAGGGCACATTGGGTTTGGTTTCCATACCTCACTTTGCATCAAAGTTCTTGGGTTGCAGGCCATTCTCTTCGGACTGATGGCAAGCGCAGCGCGCCAAGACTTGACAATCCTGGAGTCCTCGAGTTAAAGAAGCCCCCAAGAACTTCCAAAACTCCCAAAAGACTCAGGCCTTGACATTAACCTTCTTGGTTCTGTACGATCTCTGGAGTCCCATCGGCGACATTTACAACTTCCAGGCCCATGTCGGCCTTCGTACTGACGTCAGTCTGCATGAGCGCTTGGGTTCAGTTTCCCCATGTGACCCTATCAACCCGATGATTCCCTACCAAGAGTGCTTCTCGTCCTGCAGACTGTGATCGAAGAGATGGTGTCGGGGATGGAAGAGGCGGGTCTTGGCTGTTTCTGGCGGGGGCATGGGCGGGAGGTGATGTTGCAAAGCATCTTGCGAGGAGCTTGAGGTCCGTCTATCAGATGCTCGGACACTGGCGGACGACATGGCTTTGGGCCCAGTACACACCCTTGTCACATTCTCTTCTGCCGTAAGACATGTAGCTTCGACTCTTGCCCTGTATGGACAAAAGCCCAGGGCCTAAAGCCTCAAGGCCCCCTTCAACATAGAATGGAGGGGTTTCTGCAAGGGTCCGAGAGTCCCAGAACGCGAAGCCCAGAGGCACGATGTGCCTACGGTGCTCCGATCTGCCCGTTCCCAGGCTTTGGATGGCCGGCCCGAACGTTGAGAGACTTTGAAGCGCGCCGCGGGCCTGGAGCAGGGTGCAACATATCTCGGACGGTCTCGAAGTCTCGAAGTCGATGATGAGGTCCTTTCCAAACAGATCGCTGCAGGTCGATGCCGGCAGAGTTTTTGGCAGTCGGCTCTGTGTAGAGTCTTGAGTCAGGGCACACACAGCCAATTTCTGCAGGCCGCAGCAAGAAGAGCCTCCAGGTGATTCGGCGAGCCAAAGAGAGCCGCAGCATCAAAGCATGGCAGAGGGACGTCGCTTCTTCGAGAGAGTTGGTAAAAGGGGCCACTCATGGGCAGTTTCACGATGGGCTAGCTTACCTTGGCTTACTCAAGTAACCATACCCAAAACCAGTGAGAAGCCCATCGCCGCAAGGTTCCTGTGCATTCCAGGAAGGCATGGATTATGTGCTGCCCGCCGTTTAGACCCATCGCCCCGAAGCCACTGCTCACCGGAGTGGGCCGGGCAAAGGCGACCCTGGGGTGCTGCTGCACTTTCATAAGAACTTCATGAAGCAAAGAGAGGTGAGCCTTCGCTCACTGCCGCAGCTGTCTCGTGCAGGCTTGATGATGCGTGGAAGCACGCTCTTCGTTTTGGCTTTGGGCTTAGACTACTTTGCTGCTCACTAGTGCGTCCGTGACGTTTTTACTGCCAGTCCCAGACGAGCCTAACCACATAACCCTTCGGGACTGCTGGCTCGTAACCTGTCGTATCGTTTCGGGAAGTGTGCATTCCGTGACTGCATCGCTCCAAGACAGGGGCTCAGTGCAGGGGGCCTGGTGATAAACCAATGTACGGCTGTGGAGGTGACACGGCTCGAGAAAGAGACCGTCGCCAGTGTGAGTTGCAGAGCTGTGGCAGCCAAGAGAATGCTCCAAAGCAAACCACGCCAAAGAAGTTGCGAAGTTGCACGCAACGGCCTGGCAGGTGGAGAGAGTCGTTCCGTCAAATGAAGGTTGCTGGTGTGTCCAGCTGGTGCCATGATGTGTTGTGCGAGCTCTGCTGCTCTAACATGCCTATCCTCAGAGCATGCGTGCAAAACATGACTGCTAATGCATGCCTCCTAGTGGTACAGCTGCGCCAGCAAGCACTGGCCATCGTGAGTGCCAGGACTCTAAACTCGATTTGTCTTGTGCGCCTTGGTGAGAACAAGGCCTTGCTCGTGCCCTGCATAGCCAACGCTGCTCGCCCGGCTGCACACTCAAAGTGCAGACGTGATCGATTGTGTCTTCTTGACTTCAATATTAACGATCAGCTTTCGTTGTTGGTGGTGGCTCAGGTTGGGGCAGTACTTCAACTAGAGTCGAAGGCCAGTGGCTACAGCAGGACCTTATTGCATCGAGTGCGCGGCGGCGATTGTCCCAGCTCAGTTGATCACAAACGGGCGGTCGTGCCATCCGACTCGCACATGATCCCAGAAGCCCAACGACACAACAAACAGGGAAGGCTTGCCATGCTCGCGTGTCGCATTCTGAACCGGTTCGCATGACAATTCTTGGCGAAGCGCACAATTTGGAGACTGAATCAATATTCAAGATGCGTGACTTCGAAGCCGTGGTTGTTGAACATCTGCTTCCGGATGCGCGACTACAAATTCCTGCGACCATGCTGTTTCGGTAGGATCTGGGCGTATGCTTTTCCAGGTTGCAACTGCTGTTATGTGTTTAGGGATTACGTTTAAACCAATAGGCTCTATCCATTGAATGTACTGGTCTTTTTGATATGGTGTTGTGCTGCTACCAGGTTCTTATTATGTGTATAGGAATATACATTATATATATATATATATATATTAGCACAGAAATACATGTCATATAGTATAGAATTGTGTACTACAATATGAAACAGTATAGCCTGATGCAATGTAGTATAAGAAGATGCAACATAGAAGTCTACGTGCATGCAGGCAGACAGAGACATGCCTACATGCATACGCAAACACTCATACTGTCATACATGTTGCTCCTATATGTATGTATACATGCTATCATGTCGTGTCTGACCTATAATCGAGTGCACTGCAATGCGATATAGTATAGTATAAGAAGACACATTACAAATGTGTTGAAGCCTCCAGGAACCTGCCAGCGCTTTACGCGGCTTGGTCTGCTCCCGTCTCTGCTGGGGATCCCAGTGCCAAGCATTGAAGTCTAGTAACTGTGTAACTGTGGTTTTGCAAGTTTTAGGGGGTTTAGGGTTTAGGGCTTCGGATTACTTGGGGTTGATCGTTTCTTGACTCGGGCTTATGTTAATAAACTAGGCTTAGTGATGGAGCCGAGAGGTGGACGGCTTGGACATTGTGCGGCCTAAGTCCGATGCCTATGGCTGTTCGCCGCTTCCGAGGACGGCAGCTTGAGTGCTTCTGGAAGTTTGCGTTGACTGAAGACTGCCAGAAGGATAGGGGATAGGGCGGATAGGGATGACGTTGACAGCAGTGGCTGACAGAGGTTCTGCAACGATTTAGTGCACAGTTGCCCCAGCCCAAAACCCCCAGCAGCTCAGTTCTCTGGATGTTCTGCCAGGTGTCGACGCTGTGCCCTGCTAGTGGTGCAGGGGTGCCGTTCCCGGAACCATGCAGCTGCATCGGCAGAGCTCCCTAGGCTGTGTATCAGCAAAGTAGAGGGAACCAGGGAGCAATCGCGATCCGCCGCAGCCGCTGCTCAACCCCTAGCAGCTGGCTTCTTCTCGAAACATCCACTTTTGACCTTCAACCTGAAATCATCGAAATCTGAAGCGCTGAAGAGTTGCTGGATATCAGCCCGTGTGTGTTTGGCGCAGTGTTTGCAGATGCCCAGAACAACCCAAGTCTATAGAATATCGCCTGAACGTGTCTGAGCTGCTCTGGTAGCACGTGCCCACCGGCCCAAACCTCCAACACACGCGTGACATGCACAGAGATGGCTTCTGTGGTTCTGGCCCCAGTACAAGGGACAGACTGGTGGTGTCGTAGGAAACAAGGCCCCTGAACGCTCAGACCACTGAGGCCACATGCTGAGACTCCTTTTCCTCAGCTGGGCGCTGCCAATACCATGGGCGGGCCCTGCTCAGGAGCTCGACACTCTGTGGGACATAGCTCGACGCTGTACTGCAGGGTGGGTTTTATGGGGATCGTTCATGCCGAAGGGCAGAAGGTTTGGAAGCCTGTTCGGGGAGTGTTTTCATGAGATTCGTGAGCAAGTTCTGATCATGTCGGCCTGGCCAGCTCGACGCCGCCTCAGACGCCGCAGTCTCCTGCCTTCAGCGCACGGTCACCCAGACATTTGAAGCGCCAGCCTGGTTGTGGGCCTTTGAGGTTTAAGCCCTACAAACCTAGAAAGGCATCGCATGGCATCGCAAGGCATGCACAGCTGCGAGATACAATTTTCCAAAGTTCCCTCATGAAAAGGTTTGCCACACTTCAGGCAGGTGGAATTGTTAAAAGGCTCCACGAGGCAGTGGTTTCAGCCGCACCTAACCGGACGGGAAGACAGGAGCGCCTCTATGTCGCTCGAGACATAGAGGTGCAACCACGCAGTGAAAACGCAGCTGCTTCTATGCGATTGCATGTCAGTACATCCTGCTGTACAGTCCTGATTATGTTGCTTGTGACTGGGAGCCTTGCTTGCAGCGCTCGCTTGATCGAATCTGGATCGCTGCTTCAAAAGCAGCGCTGTCAAGATGGGAAAGGCCACGTACGAGATCCATAAGCGCTCGCGCCATGCCACTGAAGGGCAGTGCTACGCACAAGGCACACAGCTCCTGCCGCTTGAGGCCTTTTGCCCTCCAGGCCCTGGACGAGCTGCTCCGACAGCTTCACCTCCTGCCCCAGTGTGCTGCGGTGTCCCTCTCTTCCTCCTTCCGCCTCCGTTTGGGTCAAAAGCCCGGTGTGCACACCTGGCCTTGTTCCCTTGTACGCTGTCGCGGGTTTTTTTCCTCACGTTGGCGCTTGGGCTAGTGCCGGGTTAAGGTGTTACACCACCCTGATAAGCAATGACAAGCTTGTTTTTTCGCCGCCTTCAGAAGTAACGGAGGGCCAGACGTTGTGCATCCTCAGACCGAACCTAGCCCACCTAGCACGAGCATGAATGAACATCTAAAAGCTAGATGCGGTCAGTCAGTGGCCCATTTTCTTCTCACCTTTCTTTGTGAACGCGTTTGATTGAAGGACGACGTGGAGGATGTCTCATCAGAGCAACGGCCAGCAACACATCGAGGAAGAAAAACCGGCTAGCAAGCTCAGAAGCACAAACTGACTGGTCTATGGCAACCCGAGTCACGGCCACGGACACCTGAAGTTATCAGTGCTGGACATCTGCCCGGAGTGTCCTGAGAAGCTGAGATGAAGACGTAAACTTGCAAGGAACACACGGGCACCCATGAGTCGAATGCCTCGTGTCATTGCGCACGCCCTTCGCATTGGTTTCATGGGTTTGATGAGCGGCGTTTCGCGATATGCAGCAGCTAGAGGCCATGCTACCAACCGGGATCGACCGGGAAAAGAGGCCCGGAACTTCTCATTAACTTTCAGAGTTTGCCGACTTCACCAACTTCCGCTATCAAAACTGACTTGTCTGTTGCGATTTGTTCACCTCAGCTTGCCTCCTTGTTGCAGGCTGGCTTTCCAAGCCACGTGATGCTGGAGTCCTGGTACGCCTTCGTGTGTTGTCTCAGATGCCGCGTGCATCCGAAAAGCCGCTGAACAGCATTTCTTAGTGCCACGCAACACGTTGCAAACTCAGGCAGAGGCCGCGGCCGAAGGGCTCCTCTTCGAGCACCTCTTCCAGTTTGTCGGATTTCTCGCTCCGCTCAGACCGCCCAGGCGAGATTCATGGGAGCAGAGGTGTATAGGCCCGAACCTCTTAGCCGTGGGAGAACAAGAACAGCAAGAAGACGAAGATGAAAATGGCGATAAGAAAAGTGAATAGCAATGATCAGAATGATAAGAAGAATACATAGTCACTCTTCCAAACGATGGTCCCCTTTGTGACACGGAAACAGATCAACTGACAAATCGCAGGTGCGGTTTTTTTTTCCGGCCAACCTTGTCTTGAGGTTCCACATCTCCGCTCGAGGTGGAGATGGGTCCGGCGTTCTCTGCCCCGGGCTCTGAGCAGCTTCCAGCTTTCGTGGCTTGAAGCTCTATCGAAGCGCACGCCGAGGATCCCTGTGGGCCTGAACAGCCCTCCACAGGATTTGCCAGGCAGGGCATGTCCTTACCTTTCCAATGGATGGTCTCTCACACGCGCTCGATTGAAAGCAATTCCCGAGATTTAGCCACCTGGTTTTCCTGGGATTGAAGCGGCACCGGCTCCCGATCACGATGCAGATTGTGGCGAGAATCGCCCAAAAACCTAAGCCTCTGTCAACCCTAAACCCTCTGCGACCTGTCAGGCTTGAGCGGTCGCGGAAGGACCCCTCGAAACTTTCCATTGACCTGACAGACGTGCTTCGAAAGGGGAGTGCCTTCAACTTAGTTTCAGCGACAAAGCAACTAGGACCAGATACACACCACAAGGCGAATTGACACATACACACACACACATGCACAGATATTACTATGATATCACTCGCAGGGCAAGGTTTGTTCAAGCCCCTTCTAGGATCGAGTTGAGGATCAGCAGGCTTTCTTGAGGATTTTGATTTGCCAGTGCCAGTCGTCCACGTTCACAGGTGCGCCTTGGAGCGTGAGTTGATCTGGCGTGATTCCGGGGCAGAGCTGGGGCTCATCTCTAGCGCTGACAGCATATCTGGCACAGAAACTGGCAAGTAAAGTGCCCCAAGGGCTGACACTGCCATCATTACGTTGAGGCCACCGTCCTGGTAACGGCGATGAGTGTGGATCTTAACATGAACGCGGATCAACGATGATTCCAAGCCTGCATCAGACTGCCAGGCTTAGATGGTTCATATAGCGATCTGCCATGCCCCCAGCTTCAGCAAGGACTCAGACAGTTTGTTAGCAGAGCGCAAAGTTCAACACTGCCCCATTCCCTCAGATGAGTGGGCTGTACTCCTATGTTTGGCATCAGTGAAGCAAGTGGACTCTGCCGCCTTCTTTTTCATAGCTGTTTCCATCCTCGCAGCCGAGCGTGAGCTGCAGGGACGGCTTCGATGTGACCCGCGCAGAGCCTTTGGAAGACTCCGCCCGCCTCCCAGAGCAACTGAGCTTTCTTGGGCCAGCTTCACCTCGCCGTGGCCCGATGCCGACTATGACTTCAGGACAACTCACTGCTGGTGCTGCGCCTCTCAAAGAGCGGCAAAGGCGGCCGGCGATGCGCATCGTCCTGCGAAACGCAGCAACGCTGGTCATGCGTCGTCGCTACCGCTCGAATCTGCTCTGAATGCAGCCGTTCCAGTCCCGGTGCGGAACTTCAGTCATGTCAGCAGGTATGACGTGATAAGAACAGGGGCAGTACTAGGCCGCTCGGGCAACTTAGCTCACAGAGCCTTGTGGCCCTAATCCGGCATACGCATGAGGAAGGCTAGCCATCATTGAAGAACCGCTGCAGTCCTACCTATCGTAAGTGCATCTTTGCAGAACTCGGATCCAGAGAATACTCTGGCATGTGCGACGATTGCGATGGCCCGAACCATCAATGCACTAGCCTCGTCTCCCCGGATGACTCTGTCTGTCTCGTGGAGAGGCCTTCCGAGGTAAGGCGGACGTGCTCCTGGCGATGGGCAGCTTTGTTCATGGTTATTGTTGCAGGCTTCATCACGAGCTTGCTCGTCAGGGACAGGAGCCTCAGGCCAGTGATGGTAACCCAGGCAGCAGACCTTCCTCTGGTTAGCCTTGGGCACGTTAGTCCTGAGACGAATCGTGTTCTCTGCCTCATCGACATCGATCAAATGGTCAGCCGGGTAATCAATCTGTCCAATGCTATCGACCGAGTTACAGGCGACTGTAACTTCGAAGGCATACCAACAGAGAAGATCTCGGCGCTTGAAAGAGAGCTCTGCGCCAGCACCATTCTTGTCATAATTGTAAATGCGAATCTCCTCACAGGCTTGATCACGGCATCAGTGTCTTCTTGCACCGGGGCGCTCAATGTCCCTGCGAACTGTGGGACCAACGTTGTAGCCTTAATCGGCGGGACGGCCATACTTCTGCAGTCCATCCTTGCTGTGGACATCAACTGCGTCAGGCTTGAGAACGTCCCAATTGAAGACAAGATAAACACAACGCTGGCCAGAGCAAATCGGGCGAAAGACAAAGCTATACGCAATGCACAGAAGTTTATTAGGAATCATGGGGGGCAGGTTGAGCTGCTCCCGGCCCCGCCGGCTGTTCCCCCCAAGACTGTGTATAAGGCAACGTCACTCTGCTTTTCCTTCCTTCAACTGGGGCTTACACAGGTTATGAAGCTGGGGATCCTTCTTGCAGATTCCAGTATCCACTGCACACCCCGAGAAAGCAAAAGGCAGCCACGTGTGTGTGCGATCGACATCCTTGGAATCTTGCTTCTGGTCAGCGCCTTCACTCGTGTCTTTGCCCTTGCGGCAAACCAATGTGTTCGGGTGGTAGGGGACAGCAATCCGAGCACACGATGTTTACAAGCCTGTGCCGGGGTCCCCGCGGGCGCCTTTGCCGTGACAGCGCGGTGTATGAACGTGGGAGCTGCTTGCCAAAAGGCCTTCAAGGACTGGCACCCGAACGAGTGGCTGGAGCGAATTAGCAATGGCGAGCACCAGAACGTCCACTCGGGGATTGACGAGCACGTTCATTCATTCCATTCAGGTAGTCTGGAAGAAGACCTCGAGGTGCCAGCCGATGATGGCAACGTGATAATTCCGGATGAGTAGGAGACATGAATCCTCAGCATGACCTTATGACCTCCCCGACTCCACAGACCATTGGCCTATGTGCAGCAAGGGCTGCGCGCTTGGGCCTCTAGCTGTGGTTTCGAGCCTGCCAACTGCAACCCGAGCCGTGCTGCATTGCAGCGGGCCTGGCCAGTGCAGGTATTCATGGTCATCGTTTGAGGTAGCCAGGCCGCCTCCCACATGACTGCATTCAAGCACTACAAGATGTGGACTGTCCGAGACACAGAATATCTAGTCTATCGTGAATTGCAGCGATAATATATATATATATATATATATATGCTCACCCCCCCCCCCAATGGACCCACCGCGGGTGGCAGCCGAGTCCTAGCCAGATCAAGGGAAAAACAACAAAACAAGAAACTAACAAAAACCAAAAAACCAAAAAATCCAAAAAAACCATCTTTTCCAAAACTATGGGGCTGGGGCCTCCAAAAGATGGTTTTTTTGGTTTTCTCGAGAAAAAGATGGTTTTTTTGGATCGAAACCATCTTTTTCTCGAGAAAAAGATGGTTTTTGGAGGTCTTCTCCTGGTAAAACCATCTTTTTCTCGAGAAAAAGATGGTTTTTCGAAGGATGGTTGCTCAAAACCATCTTTTTCTCGAGAAAAAGATGGTTTCGAACCAAAAAACCATCTTTTTCTCGAGAAAACCAAAAAAACAAAAAAAAACAATCTAAACTATGGGGCTGGGGCCTCCAAAAGATGGTTTTTTTTGGTTTTTTTGGTTTTTTTGGTTTTCTCGAGAAAAAGATTTTGGCGGTCTTCCCCTGGTAAAACAATCTTTTTCTCGAGAAAAAGGATGGTTGCTCAAAACCATCTTTTTCTCGAGAAAAAGATGGTTTCCAACAAAAAAAACCATCTTTTTTCTCGAGAAAACCAAAAAAACCAAAAAAACCAAAAAAAACCATCTTTTGGAGGCCCCAGCCCCATAGTTTTGGAAAAGATGGCTATTTTTTTTTTTTTTGTTTTTTTTGGTTTTCTCGAGAAAAAGATGGTTTTTTGGTTCGAAACCATCTTTTTCTCGAGAAAAAGATGGTTTTGAGCAACCATCCTTCGAAAAACCATCTTTTTCTCGAGAAAAAGGTGGTTTTACCAGGGGAAGACCTCCAAAAACCATCTTTTTCTCGAGAAAAAGATAGTTTCGATCCAAAAAAACCATCTTTTTCTCGAGAAAACCAAAAAACCAAAAAAAACATCTTTTGGAGGCCCCAGCCCCATAGTTTTGGAAAAGATTTTTTTTTTTGTTTTTGATTTTTTGGTTTTTTGGTTTTCTCGAGAAAAAGATGGTTTTTGGGTTCGAAACCATCTTTTTCCCGAGAAAAGATGGTTTTGAGCAACAATCCTTCGAATAACCATCTTTGTCGAGAAAAAGGTGGTTTTACCAGGAGAAGACCTCCAAAAACCAGCACTATAGGGTTATAAGGTTCTAATCCGTTAGGTATTGCCTAAACCTTCAATCCTCAACCTTTAACTTTATTCCCTGCAGGGTTAACCCCGTGAGAAATTTGGAGATAGACCCCGAAAAGACCCTAAACCTTCTTACAGGGTGTAATGGTTTAAAATCCGATGTATACCTGCGGGTGCTAGATCCCTATAGGGTGCTAAGGTTCTGACCCTGAAGGGTTTAGGGTTAAGGCTTAAATGCCCTCTAGGTTTAAATGCCTAAGTCTTAAACCCCAAACCTTCAAACCTTCATCCTATGGGGTTTGAAGGTCAAGGGTGTAGGCTTGATTGCCGAGGGCTTTAGGGTCCTGACCCTAGAGGGTTTAGGGTTAAGGAATAGATGCCTAAACCTTAAACCCTTTAGGTTTAAACTCTATGGGCTTAGGTTTAAATGTCTAGATCTTAAACCCTAAACCTTTAAACCTTCACACTACAAAGTTTAAGGGTGTTAAGGGTGACAAATTAATTACATACTTAGGTTTAAATGCCGAAATCTTAAACCCCAAACCTTTAAACCTTAAACCCTATAGGGTTTAAAGGTTAAGGGTTTGTTGTGAATTGCCGTCTTAGGTTTAAATGTCTGAATCTTAAACCTTATAACTTTAAACCTTCACCCTACAGGGTTTAAAGGTTAAGGGTTTCGGTTTAATTGCAAGCTTAGATTTAAATGTCTAAGTAAAGAATCCTAAACCTTTAAATCTTGTCCCTAGAAGGGTTTAAGGTTAAGGGTTCAATATGAACTGCCGGCATACGTCTAAATTCCTAAACCTTAGACTTAAACCCTAAACCATTAAATATCTTAACCCTATAGGGTTTTAAGGTTAAAGGCTTAGCGTTAATTGCCGGAATCGGTTTAAATGCCTAAATCTTAAGCCCGAAACCTTTAAACCTTAGCCCAACAGGGTTTAAAGGTTAAGGGTTTAAAATTAATTGAAGTCTGAGATTTACATGCTTAAACCTTAAATCCTAAACCTTTAAAATCTTAACCCTACAGGGTTTAAAGGTTAAGGGCTTGGCTACAGGTTTAAATGGCTAAATCTTAAACCCTAAGCCTTTAAACCTTAACCCTACAGGGTTTAAAGGTTAAGGGTTTAAAATTAGTTGCAGGCTTAGGTTTAAATGCCTTCATCTTGAACCCTAAACCTGTAAAAATCTTAACCCTATAGAATTCAAAGGTTAAGGGCTTAGGGTTTAATTGCCGGCATAGGTTCAAATGCCTAAATCTTAAACCCTTAACCTTGAAACCTCAACTCTACAGGGTTTAAAGGTTAAGGGTTTTTTTGCAGGCTTAGGTTTAAATGCCTAAATCTTAAATTATAAACAAAAGCCAACAGAAAGAAAAACCCTCCGTTTGTGTGTGAGAGAGTGAATTAAGGAATACAGTCAAGAATCCGGTCACCGGAAAATCACCAGACAGCATAGGTTTTATCGGTATTTGCGGTACTTTTGCAAAGATCAAGGCCTGCGGTGGGTCCAATGGGGGGGGGTGACCATATATATATACACACACACACACACACACACTAAAGTGCTTTGTGTCATGCGTCTGAGTATGGAGGCGCCTGGGGCCAGAGCAGATTTTGTCTTTTGCAACGCCCCCCGTAGCCTGAAGGCTGTTTAGACAAGTGATTTGCCTGCACGTTTCCTGTGACTTCGAATTAGTTGGTACGAGACGTTGAATTGCTGCTGGTTTGTGCTTCTACATTGTAGTGTCACAACTAAAAGTCAACTGCAGGAGCAACGTGCTGAGGCTTGCAGAGACGTTGGTCTTAGTTTTCCGCTTCAGGCAGAGCTTGTGCGCCCACTGCTTGTTTCAAAGCAGCCAAGCAGCCAAGAAGGTGACAAGTCATTCGGTCGATGTGGTCGGCGCGGTTACTGCGCCGTTCACCGATACGCGCGCTTGTCGGCTAGCCAGATGGCTCCGACAGCAGAGGCACCTGTCCAGAAGCCTGGGCGGTGTCAGAAAGCTGAACCTGTATCCTGTCCAAAACGACTTCTTCCTTGGAAGAGTGGAAGAGTGGCCTAAGAGTGGAAGAACAGAAGAGTGGAAGAGTGGCAGGGCTTGCCAACTTCAGGCATCGACTTCTTCCGACCCAACTTGGGCATCCGCACGTCAGACAACCAGTCTGAAGAGGCCTTTGGGCATGCGCTTCTGGCTTCTGAGCTTCCCCTTGGTTTCAGGCTTCTACCCGTGATCATAACAGGTGTCGGACTTTCAAATCAACCGCTCACGGTCTGAAGACATCCTCGTTCTTTGATGAAGATTTGCACAGTTTCTTTGAGAGTCATGAGAGCTGCTTATGTAAGATGTTCACACAGTGAGTTAATTTATCTACATTGTCTGTGTCACAAGGAACCACGCTGCACCCTGGCCGTGTTGCTGTATCTTGATGCCGGTCACGCCATTTTTTCTTTCTTTAAGGCAAGAATGTGCATTAGATCAGATTGCTCAATAACCGTTAATGTCCGCTCGACAAGGTTGTGTTCTCTCCATTCTACAATGAATGCAAATCATCAACGTTTCAAGCTTTGATATTTGACATGTTTTGAGGTCTACGTATGTCGCCCCTTCTTTGAGCGCATTTTCTTTCTGCTGGCAACCATTTGGCTGGACATGTTTTGGCATAGCAGCCTTGTGCTTTTCGGTCGTGGCCACTGATGAGTTTGCCATTTCACTGAGATGCATAGGGCAAACATAAGTTTGACCAGAAACGGATGTCGTGGCGTTTCATTCAGTATGAACTTCTGTTTATGTCATTCTAAGACGAGAAGTTGATGTGGTGCCGTTTCCTTCAGTATGAATGTCTGTTCATGTCACTCCAGGTGCAGTTTCATCATTTTCATTGAAGGACCTAAATCACTGTTTGTACTCGTACCTAGACGGTCAATGCAAGGCGAACTGTACTGAGAAACAGAGTTAGATCGCGAAGGCGAGCCTTCACCACAACATAACAAGCACTCGTGCATACATGGCGTGTTGATGCCTTTGGGGCTGCGGTAGTACACGTTCATGAGGAGGAAGTGGCAGAGATACTTGCGTCTGTGGTTTCTGAGGTTGCGACGCGATTTTGGCAATTAATTCAGGGTGTGGGCTTTAGCAACGATCATGACAACAAGCACCAATGCAGAGCTTGCAATATGTGCGATGTCACAAGATTGCCCTGCAGACCGAAGTCTCTCGCAGCACATACTAAGAGCCTCATTTCTTCTTGAGCCGACATCGAACTGAATCTTGAAAGGCGGTGCGCCAGGGCCTTGGCGATGGCTGGCTTGGAAGCCTTGAGCGACTTCATTGCACAGGCTGGAGCATGCTGGAACTTGTTGAAACTTCCTAGCGAGGTTTCCTGTTGTTTTTTGGTTTTGTTTCAAATTCCAGTTCTGGAAGGCAACCGCAAACGAATTGTAATCAGTGGGGTCAAGCTGATCTATGCCGGTTTCTTCGCGGTCCGGCGCTTACAGCCTTTCATGTTGCGCGCGTTCCGACGCCCAATGTGATGCCAGGCCAGCATTGCTGCAGATGCTGCCGATTACCGCA